TTACCCAGGAGAGGGCAGGGACAGCAGCCCAGCATCCCCTGCCTGCACTGCACATCCCTGCCAGGGCCCTGCTGGTGGAAATCCCTGATTTATTTGGTGCCTCCACACACAAAATCCAGAGTTGGAAAGGAATGGTGAATCCAGCCATGCTGCTGCTCCTCCATGAGCCATTCCTTGAGGAATTCTGGCAGCTCAAGGGGTTCACCTCTTTCCTTCCACTGCACCTTCCCTTTTGGAAAACAGGATAAAAGGATGGTTTGGGTGGAGAGGAACCTTAAAATCCAAAATCCATCCCATTCCAGGGACACCTCCCACTGTCCCAGGGTGTCCCAATGTCCAGCCTGGCCTTGGGCACTGCCAGGAATGCAGGAGCAGCCACAGCTGCCCAGCTCAGAATCCCCAACTCCATCCATGGGGATTTTGGTTATTTGTAGGTTTTTATTGATTCATTTTTATTGATTCCCATTCACACTGGATCCCTTCCCTCCCTCCCACAGCTCCAAGACCTGTTGTTGAGAGAGAGGTTTTGTATCCCCCTCTCACACTCTCCACAGAAAATAAAATTCCAGGAGAGCACTGGAATCCATGAGCTGTTTGCAGCCCAAAGCAGCTCCAATTATCACACCTTTTGTCCAAATTTCCCCCAAATTAAATTGCAGCTTTAGCAATTCTAGCCAGTGATAATGCTAATAATCCAATTAAATGCAAAGCGAGTCTAATTAAGATAAATGAAGGATTTCACTGGCAGCATTAAGAACATTTAAAATTAGCAAGAAGTGAAAAAGCCTGAGAAACACCCAGGGACTGAGTGTACTTCAGTGCCAGGCCCTTAAAACATAAAAAACTCCCATTTTTAAGGTGGAAAATATTCATCAGGAGCTGGCTGATGGGTCTGGAGTCTGTCCCAGGGTTCCCAGGGAAGTTTTGTACCTGGAATCTCCTTCTTGAGCATCTTCTCATCCCAGGTGAATTTATCTGCACTCAAATCTCTAACACCTCACTTACCCGTGACTGAAAAGAATGGGATAAAAGAGGATTTTTCCAGCAGTTGGACTGTGGGTTCCTCACTCTGAAAACATCAGCAACATCTCTTCAGTGGCCCCATGAGTGGGAGTCAGCTCCTTGCAGCCTCAGGAAGCTGGGAAGTCAGCCTGGACACTCCTGTGGAAGGGACTGAGCCCTCCAGGAGCAGGGGAACACTGAGAAAACACTTGGGTTTAACATAGAAAGGAAAATTAAAATTTAAAAAAGACCCAGAATAGCACAATTTGCAGAAGACACCAAGATTTGTACAGTGCCATTGGTTATATTCCCTTTTTCCATGAGTTATGTTGCTTTTTGGGTTGTTTTTACCACCCTGCACTCCCCAAACCAGGGGGATCACCCCATTTCTGTTCTGTACAGGGGAAGTTGCTGCACACTCACTTTATTAATTAAAATCCTTTAAATGACTCCACCTTTCCAAGTGTGGAGTTCTGAGTTAGCACCCAATAACCAGAGCAGCCACTTCCTTTAAAAAGGCCAAGTGTTTATTTTGGTAGGGAATAAAAATACCTGCAATCCAAGAGAGACTCCATGGGACAAACAGAAAAGACACAATTCTCCTCTAGACAAGATCAGCTTCAAGCAGTGCAGGAACTGAAATGCCCACAGATGTCCCCCAGCAGTGACACAGACACAAACAGCCACAGGGACACTCCCAGCCAGCACCAGACACAGTTTTAGGGACATTCCTACAAGGATCAGGTTGGGGATGCCAAGGAAAATCCAGCCAGAGGATGGGATCCAGTGCTGAGTTCCTCCAGTAGTTTCTGCTACATTAAATAGATGGAAATACAGAAATGATATAAAAACAAGCCCTTGGTCCTGCCCTGCTCCTGCAGCTCCCAGGGGCTCACATTCATTAAAGTCATTAGCAAACCTGCCCTAATGAATGGCCCACCTGGCTGCCTGGTGCCAAGCACAGGTTTACCACCCCCTGCTTCCTCAGCTAATTAATCAAGTGCTGGGGGATAATTAAACACAAACAGGACATGCAGAGCAGGTTCTCCCCCAGGGAATGGCTGGGTGTGCGTGAGGGAAGGATGGAAACCAGGAACAGCTGGGAGAGGTCCCTATAAAAACAAGCCCAGCCCAGAGCAGAGGGGTGGGAGCAGAGGAGAACCCTTCTGGAATGTTCCTGGGCACTCCTGGGTACCCAGCACTGCATCCTGCCAAGAAACCCCTCTGAGTGCCCAAGGGCAGGAGCTGAAGGAGCCTCAGCAGGAGCTCTTCCCTTTCCAAGGCTGTTCCTGGGGCTGCCTCAGCTTTGGGAGCGCCTCTGAGGGCTCTGTGCTCCCAGAGGGGATGGGAAACACCCCAGGGCTGCTCCACACCAGCATTCCCAGCTGGAGATCCTGTGGGGCACCTTCAGCTCCTGCCAGATCCCTCTGCAGGGCTGGGGCAGCTCCTGAAGGGGCCCAGCTCCCTCCCAGCCCAGCCAGGATGGCTCTGGGTCACAGCAGGTGGATTTTTACTCCAAGGCAATCACTGAGCACAACAGACCTTTACAAACTGCTTTTCCTCACCCCTAAAGAGGCCATGGAGAACCAAAACTATGGACAACCCAAGTATTCCCCCTTTTTCCCTGCAGAGCAAACAGCACCAATTGGATTTTCTCTCCCACAGGTGACAACAGCAAAAGAAAACCCCAATTTAAGAATCCACAGAACAAAGTTCACATTGAAGACATTTCAAATGAAGCTCCACGAGTCCCTCTTGTGCTTCAGAGTAGGAGTTTTAACACAGAGCATGACAGGCCACTACAAGGTTACACCTGGTTGTAGCACAGGAGACACTGGGAAAAGGCAGGAAGGCATGGAATGTCCTGGAGAAACCATGG